GGTTAGATATAAGGAAGAAGTTCTTTACTGTGAGGGTGGTGAAAAACTGGAACAAGTTGCCTGAAGAAGTGGTAAATGCTCCATCCCTGGCAGTGTTCAAGGCCAGGTTGGACAGAGCCTCGGGTGACATGGTCTAGCGCAAGTCATCTTTGCCCATGGCAGCAAATTGGAACGCGATGATCTTAAGGTCCTTTCTAACCCAAACCATTCTATGATCCTGTTTTTTATGAAGTCTTCTACTGCTTGTCTGGCATTAAAGCAAATTCAGTAATGACAGTGCTGATGCCAAGCTAAGGCACTGGCAGCTGGCTTGTGCTTCACCAGATTACACTGACTAAAATTGAAGAATGCCCATGAGTTAAAAAAAAAAACCCTTACCTTATCAAATCTAGGAAAAAAGTTCAAAGACCTAGTCAGAGAAATGTGGGTGAGATGGGATGTAACCTTGTTTTTCTCACAGGTGGTTGGTCTTGTGTATAACATACCAGACAACATAAATAAACAACAACATTTATTTATGAACATTTAATAAATTATTCAAAAATAGGAAAGTTTCCACAGAAATGCTAGGGTACAAACTTTACAAACCTGTAGTGATTAAAAACTAAAATGTAGAGAACTGAAAACGAACACTATATAAATTATTGCTGCATGTAACGCTAAATTTGAAGTTTGCAGTCTTAATGTTTAGAGGACTGTTTGCTATAATACACACTTGCATTTAATTTTAAGGTAAAATCCATGTAAGAAAACAGAACCAATGAAACTTGTCAACAAAAAACCCAGAAAACTATGAACTATCAGCCCTCTAGAAGAGCTTTACTGATAAATGATTTGTAATTGAGGTACTCAAAATACAGTCCACTGTATTCTACAGTAAGAGTTCAAGAGATGCAAAAGCTCTCATGTCCTGAACACCAGACACCAAAGATAAGTTGTGGGAACTTTATAAATGCTACTGTTTCTGTAGAAAGTAAACCAGGTGAATCTGAAGCGTCTGCAGGAGTCACTGCTGAGAGAAATTATAACTTCCAGTGGAGCAATCTTCTTATAATTAATTACAACAACCGACTTAGCTGTTCTTTTAGCATCAGGAATTAGATATTAATTTTGTCTAGAAATATATGACATTTTGAATAAAATTTTAACACTATGATCCTTTTTAGCAGTATGTTTCTTCCTCGAGAGGTGTAGGTTGTTTTAAATAAAAACCTTATCGTGATCTCAACAATTCTAGACAGAATTTAGCTTAAACCAATTCTTATTTCCATGATAGGTTTCTGTTAAAATCAGGAGATAGTGAGCAGCTGCACATGCACCAGGCAACCAAATGCTTTATAAGTAAATTGTGATTCGTAAATATTGTGTAGGTGCTGTTACCTTCATTCAGACATCAGAACAAGCAGTCAAAATTGAAAGACAACCTCACTGAAAGACAGAAAGCAAAGCGAATGCACTACTATATCTTTGTAAATTTGAAGTCCATCATACTCATTCATCTTGGTCAGCTCTTGGGTAAGAAACTGTTGCTAACCATCATGCCTGCCATAGATCAGTAATACATTTTGTCCCAAACCACTGCTGTAAACAGCAAATTATGCCAAAGCTTTGAATTTCTGTTTGGAAATAATGGCCATTACTGCCATTATGTTGATAGAAAGATGACGAAAACATGTTTTCTGAATATAAAGGATTCAATTTATTTAAATGTTACTCACCGGCATTGGAGCAAGGTATCTGACTGTATTCACACTCCCTTTCATGCCTGTCTATAGACTCCAGAGAACAAACCATTTGACAGCCGTACTCCCTGTTTTTGCAATGTAGCTGAAGACGGTTTAAATCATTTCTCATGTATCTACATTAAAAAAAAAAAAAAAAAAAAGTTCTAATATCTGGGAACATTACTGAGAAATTTGTATTTTCAACTTCGGGGAAAGAAAGCAAAACTCTAATCTCCATTACGAAAAAGTGTGAGTAATCAGTTTAATATTTTGTTTTCCATATTGCAAAAGAACAGGCTTAAAAGAAACAGTGTAAATGGAAAATTCAGTCTCCAAAATTAAATGTGCAAATGAAATCTTTATTTTAATTTTATTTCACTGCTCAGTAGATGTTACCGATAACAATCAAAAGGGCTACTCAGTCATCATTTTAAATTTTGTGTTTCTAAACATGCCAAACCAAACTGACTACAGTGAGTACACACCAAACAACCTGTAAATTAACCTCAAGGGTTCTGTCTACACTGTATGTCAACTTTCCAGGCAGAAAATCTCATTATTGACAAAAGCACTGAGAATACAAATGGAGTAAATTTATCATCTGTGGCTGAAGGTTTTAAACACAATGTAACTGTTAATCTGAGCAGATTAGACAATGCATGGGTTAATCAGCAAGCGGTGTCTACTGATGAAACTCTGTGCGCTGGGAATAGCATAGTTCACTTGGAATGGACCTACAGCAATCATCTAGCCCAACTGCCTGACCAGTTATGGAAGACACTTGTGAAATCAGCCTGCTTTACATGACAAAGTGGTTCAAGACAGATATTCTTATGGATAAAGACATTTTTAAAAAAGGATTTAAAGGTGAGAAGTTGGATTTATATCTACAGAAATTGTTCATTATAAACCCAACTACAGTATCTAAGTGAGGCTGAAAAGAAAAAAGATATACAGTGTTTAGTGACTGTTGTCAACAGTTGCTTTGCCTGATTTCTCTAAAAAAAAGTATTTGAACGCTTCGGTGCTGTAGAAGACATTCAGAATAATATTCAGAGAGATGTCTAGAAACAGGATTAAAGATTTAAAAAAGTGGAAAACAAAATAAGTGTTTGAAATCTTAATACCTTGAAAGTTAGTTATAATAAATAGAAAATGCTAATGCTTTCATGCAAGTGATCAGTTTCTGCCACAGTCACACTGGATAAAGACAATATGAGTGACAGTAAACGATAAGAGATAAAGCTGTGCAAGCGGAACTGAGAAATCCTAAATTCATGTGATTTCAACATACAGCAATATTACTGTATACCTGTAGAGAGGCCGTAGCAAAGACACGTCAATCATCTGTCTGTCTTCAGGGCAGTTACTGTGATGAACAAGCCACCCATGTATACAAGCAGTACAGAAAGCATGTTCACAAGGAGCCTGTAACGGATCTTCTAGCACATCACGGCAGATGGAGCATAATAGCCCTTCATTGACGTAGCCAACAAAACGCTCAATATCATAACCCATGCTCTCCGCACACTTTCAGCCTATTAAAACACAGAAAAATAAAGCAGTCTTTGTCCTGAATCTGTATGGCCAGATCCACAAAAAGGCCTGGAAGCAACCCTAGAAACACTAAGAACTTAATGTGAATAAAGAACTTCACAGTGAGAATGCAAAAACTTACATACTTCAGAGACTTTAAGATTTAAATAAGAATTTGAGGATTGTACTGCTGGATGTCAGAATCCCCATTCCTCCGAATTCTGAAAGCAAAGACAGGCAATTGAGCCATGCTTGTTCAGAATTCTGTTACAGAACACAGTTCTAGCAGCCACTGTGAAACATGGATTTTCTACTTACTTGAATTCTACCTGAAGCAGAAACATCGTAGAAGCTCAAATGCAAATGTTTGCTTTCCATTTTAAAGCCTTCTGTATCATGCCTAACCAACTTAGAAAAAAGTATCCTTACAGACAATAGCTGGGCACTTCCAGCTAGCAGAATTTGTATTTATGAACTGCACGTCACTTAACATGTTGCTTTCATACTGAAAAGGCTAAGATTCTCTATTCATTGTAGCCTTCTATTCCAGAGAGAACAGCATGAAATCTCCACATGCCTAGAGTAGTACTTAATATACAGGAAGAAAAGAAGTCAAAACTGCAGCTTATTCTGAAATCGTGAAGAGCTACTGTCTTCTCTCACATGGTCTATTTTATAAAACTGAGTAGATTAAATGGATTTGAAAGCTTTGTAAAGAACTAACCAGCAACCTGCATTCATCAGAATCCTATCATGAAAAGCCTATAGTTCAGTAAGATCCCAAAGAAGTCACGTAAAAGAGTATGTTTTAGGCTTCACATTCCTACTTCACATATAAAATTACTTTTGTAACCCCACTGAGACTTGCGAGAGAGGTTTTTATTAGTTATGAGGTTTTCTGAATAAAACAGAAAAGGAAGATATCCTACCTTTTCAGATTTTACTACATATATATGTAGTTTGTCCAAATATTTCAGAGGCAGTTTTCTGATTAGTAAGACATGTAACACTTCCCCCAGTTCCTCTTCACTGCTTTATTATGCCTATGAGAAAAATGAGAAAGGCTCAGTACTGTTTCCTAAGTTACCAAGTCCTATGTCCAACCAGCCAGCTGCTGAATAGACCCTGTCCTGACAGCCCACTGAAACAAAGCTTTCCAAAACAAGCCACTGTAAAAAAAACAAGTAAGACAAGAGATCTGACTAGATTGGGGGAGAAAAACAATAATCAGTCTTTCAGTTATTAATGACGCAGATACTTATGACAAAACTGAGCATGTGCTGCCATTTAATTTTGAAGCCTTACGGTTTTGTTTGTAAGACTGAAGACAACACAATTCAGTATTATTGGAAAGTAGCAACTTGAAATATAGTAAAACTGTACTCCTTAGAAAGATGAAAGTTTCTTATCTAACCCAGTTTTATCTGGGTGCGTTATGCAGTTCATTTTTGAAACAGAAGTATCACAGTCAAGTACATTGTATTGACAAATGATACTGCTCCAATGTGCAGCAGAATTAAGATGATTGTTCACTTACAACAAAAAAAAAAACAAACACAAAGGACATCATCACTTGAATCCCTGCAATCTAGCAATTGCAATGTGACATTCAAAGAGAATCTCAATCTGAATTAGAACCATGTAACAATCTTAAGGATCTCTAAGGACTAATGACAAATTTTGCTCTGAAGGGAAAAAAGAACTTTGCAATTCCCCATCATGAAATGTTCTGCAATTGTGGAATGTGTAACGGATGGAAACTTAACTAAGAGCTGTGATCCTCGCTCATGACTGTGAGAGACATATCAAAGTATGTTTTTGACAAAGTGTATTCCATGAAGTACATATATTTATATTCATTATTACTATTTGTTGGAAAGAAGTAGGAAAACATAAGCGTGCAGCTGTTCTATGATCTTCGTATTTGGCCACACTGGGGCACCTGGCCCCATTCTTGGCATAGCCAACAGTGAGATCATGAGAAACTGCATGGCCACACCAATAAACAATTACAGGAATGGCATAAAGCCAGCTGTGTTTCTAAGGGTATAAAAGCAGGACCCTCCTGTAGCCGAATGTGAAGCCTCACCTATGGGTGGATGCACCACACAGGAATTTTCCAAGTTACCTGGGACTCCCAGCATTGGCTGCAACAGGGCTTCCCAGCTTGAAGTGTGGCCCAGATGATGACGATTAGGTGGTAACTGGTGATGCATTTCTTCTTAATCACTATTCTCTCTAATGATCTGATGCACTGCTAATTTTCCTCTGTGCTATACATATACATATATATACACCTTATTCCCTTTATTGTGCTTGTTTACTACATATATAGCTATATACCTGACTGAGCTTAGTGTGCTTGTTTGCTTTATTGTACTTGTTTAATAAAGAGCATGTTCTAGGGCTAGTGTGTGATCATTTTGTTGGGTACCAAAACATTACCTGCTACACAGTTTACATATTGTTTAGTTTTCTCCCGGCATGTTTCTCCCACAGCCAATGCCAGGGCCTGCAGACATGCTTCAGCCAGATTTAGATTAGTTGGGACACGTACTAGTTCACTGACCTAGTGACAGCACTGCCACAGCAGCAGGGAGAGCAATCCACGTGGACTCCTGACAAGGTCCCAGGCAGATTTCACAGACTGCATCTGGCTCTTTGCTGCTGTGGCTACAACACTGCAGGTAAACTAAATTTCCAGGTGTCTAGGATATGCTATTCCTTCAGTCACAGCAAGGACAATTTATGACTTAAAGCAGTTTGCTCAAGAAAACAATTCTTTTTAATGCTGTTGTTCCCCTATAAGTTTTTACAGTTCTGCAAAGACAGGAAATTCAGGACTTCACTAGTGCTGCATGAACAAAACAAGCACTGTGTCTGCACAAACCTGGGACTGTAAGGACAGCAAGGACCACACTGGAAAGCTTAAAAAGCAGAAACCAACATTTATTATCAGTAGCAGAATGTGAAGTCAAATACTAGTTTCTAATACTAATGAAAGGCATTGAAACATTTAGTATGTTTATGCTGGAGGACTGTAAACAGCATATATGCATTCTGTAACTTGAACTGTGAGCCTAAAACTTTGATTTGACTTAGAGGATCCCAGAGGATTCAGCTTTTAGAAAGATTTTCATAGGGGTATATAATATGTCAACAAAAACGTATTTTTGCTGTCCCAGTGTTTCTGTTCTACTGTAAGCTACATTTTGCATATACGATGCTGACCCCTGAGTACTAAGTCTTCAAGACACTCTTTGGCATATTTTATCACGTTTGAAGTCCATCAGAATGCAGGAAAGAGAATTTTTATAAGTGGGGGAAAACCACTTTTGTGCCTGACAAAAAATAAAGCACAACAAATACATATATAAAGCCCCAGCCAAAACCGGAGTTCAAATGGAGAGTGGATGAGAACTCTGACGCAAAAATTACAATCAAAAGGGGTTCTAAAGAGAAGAACTTCAGTACGTTTTCAAGACTGATGTTGGACCGGCACCATCCCACACAATGCCAGAATCCTTGTGGCTTTGAGTCTGAGACCTACGACAACAGCTGTCACTGTCCCAAATTTCTTCCAGTAGAAATTTCCTGAGAACCAGAGATATTTTATCTTCTGCTAACTTAAAGAGAAGCACTTTAGTCAACAGATAAGCAGAGGGAGAGCACCAAATGAATGGCATGCGTTCTACCAGCGCAGATGACTCTACTCTGTACTTCTACTCTTCCTCGGAAACTTCCCTTTTCTTGACTTTGCCTCAAAACCTCCTCTTCTATTTCCACTACAATTCACCAGTTGTCATACTCCTTTTTTTCGTCTGCACCTATAAACTGCATTATTTATCACTGCCTTCCCACACTCCACTAATATTTCCAAACCTTGCTCAGCCTTTGATTTCTCTGGTCCAGAATTTTACACATCACCTGGCCATTACCAGTGACACCGCCCATGAGGATACCTGGAATTTGAAGGTGCCCAGTCTGGAAGGCAGAAAGCCCAAGAACTACTACATGCTATTTAAATTTCTATTGTTTCACTTGTATTATTATTTCCTCCAATATTTTTTGACAAGCAAAAATATCCTCCAGACTTCACAGATATTCATTTTTAGTAGCTCTCATCCCATGCAGTTTTCCAGGCAGATGTGCACCTATAGCTTTGAACTACACCTTCAAACAGTGATTTTGTGTGGATAAAATAATAGGGAGAATACAGATATGGTGTAGTTCCCAGGAACACAATCACATAGCCTGCTGTTTAGCACTAATCTTTGTAAAAAGCAGGACACTGAGATGGGATTAATAACTTGCACTTTTTATCTACAGTAGCTTCTGATTTTTAAAACCTGTTTCTTTTCTCTGTGACAACACAAAACCAAACTGTTCAAAGAGCCGGAGTGAATCATGACAGAACTACAGATGTGCAACACTAAGACTGCTTTTTCAGAAGTATGTGTGACTGGAAGAACAGACAATCTTTGCAGGGCTTAGGGATGAGGTGACATTAAAACATTATATTGCTTGAGCTTCCATTTCACAAAGATATACTATGCTTTAAACCCTTCTGTAGGGAAGCAACGTTTTAAGGTGTCTTGTAGCACTCTGCCACAGGCAATGTAAGCTGCTTCAGGCCACTATTAATGCCCATAGATGCAGACTCACCCCTTCAACTGTGACAGTACAAGCTGTTTCTACAGTCACTTGATTTATCACACTGGGTAACTGGCCTGTTTTCAGGCTGAACTGGGGAAAAAAAAAAAAAAAAAAGAAAAAAGAAAAGGTTTAACATTGGCAGCTGTCCTTGAGCAGCCCAAGCCAACCTATCTGCCAATTCATAGCCTCCCTCGAATCAGTTTGAATATTTAATTTGGCTCTTTCCTGAACTGGCTCAGACACCTACTCACTGATTTGCTAGGCCAGATTTTCTTGTAAACGGCTCAGAAAAAGCTCTATTGACTGTCGAAGAGAGGCAAAAGAGGAGATGAGGGACCCCAGCCAGGGCTGAAAGACAGACAGCAGCTGCATTTGTTACCGAGTCTGCCAGACAGCTCCTCCCTCAGCACAGCTCCTCAAGCTGCTACATTGTGGAGTCTCACAAACATCTGTTAAGAGAAAGGGACCAGAAGGGATAAGAACAAACGGACAGCAATACCAGCTTACACTGATGTAAAAAACTGACTTAAGCAACAAAAGCGTCTATAATAACCAGTACAAGATACAAAATTAATTTAAGGCCTCTCCCAGGAACTACTTAAGAAACTGGAGATACTTTGACAAAGACCATTTTTACACAACGCTTCCACTTGCTGTCCCGCTACAAAACCTACTCGAAATAGGTACTTCAAGGCACTTCAAGATACATGCTTCACAGTTCCCTTTCGGGTTTTAAAGGGGTGGACTCTGCCGCAGAGACAAGACCGGAGGCAGGACAGCTCTGCTCAGAAGCTCTCGTGAAGGACTGTGCAGAGGTCGAAGGAAGACTCCTCGGGAATGGCCAACACTCTTGGGCACAGAGAACAAAACTGGCCTGGAAACCATAGGAGCAGCAACGTAGCGACAAGCGGCCGCGCCTAATGGGGCTCACACAACTAACGCGCACTTACCACCATCTTCTCAGCAGGATGGCAAAGCCACCACGACCCCTGACAAGGTCCCCGCGCAATGCCTCTGCCCGCAGCCCGCCCCGGGACAGCCGCTCACCACGACGGCCCGCGGCTGATTCTCTCGGCCGCAGTCACCAGCTCTCCACACTCACTCCTGCCGCCGCTGCCTCTGCCGTCGCCGTTCGCTGTCGCAAAATCGAGGTTCGTTTTGCGGCCGCTCCCGCTTGACGGCCGCACAGCCCACCGCAGAGAGGGCAGCCTCGCGCCATGCTGTGTGCGGCACGAAAGCCCAACCCCGCCCCACAGGTCAACCCCGCGCATGCGCACCGCGACATCTTCCCGATGGGAGGTGCAGGGCGTGCGCCGCTGAAGTAATCCTCGCGGCCGGCCGCGGGAGCACGGCGTTGCTCACAGCGCATGCGCGGGGTGGGCAGCGGCTGACGGGAGCCGACGGCGGGACAATTGAGTGCTGAGGTTGCGGCGGGGCTGGTGGCTGAGGTACGGCAGAGGGTGGGAGACCGGATGGAGGGGCCCTCGGCTTCTCCTGGCAGGGCCGGCGGGCGGAAAAGCCGGCTGGGCGCCCCCATTCCCTGTGCTTGCCCTCAGGAAGACTATTCCTTCCTGACACTTCCCGGCTCTTACCGGTTGGTTGAGGCGCGCTGGGGCGATAATAGCAATTTGAATAGCTTTTGCATTTGCACCCTGCTCCAAATCCTTACAATTACTACTAATTTAAAGAGATTTTTCGCTAATACTGATATTCAAAGCGATGCGCTCACCGTCTGCAGTTTAACTGCAGTTAACCCTGTGTCGCATCTTTGTAGTTGCTTACAAAAACCCCATCTAGCCTTATAATCTGTGCCGAGAATGTCTCTTCAAGTGTCTAAGAGAGCATTCTTAAATATATGTTAAATGTGCGCCAAGATAGGTAGCATAACTGCCTTTAACAGGACTCGGTGCATGCAGTATTGAATCCAGTGTATAAAACTTTTTAAAGCTCTTTGTATATGTATTTCATTTTGATGCAGCTGTTCAGATGCCTTTAAGGAGAAAAATACTGCCGAATGCAACGCTTGCAAAAGCAGATGCATTCATGAGATGTTGTAGGCTGTGGTTTCATGGTACACTTAATTTAGGCAAGCCAGGTTGCTAATAAAGGCAGGAACAGCACTTTTCTCATGATACTTTCAGCTGCTTTCCTGCAACCGTACCTAATGGTACTGCGAGTACAGGGTGATTCAACAGATCAGTGTGTGGAAAAGGTGTATTTGCTTGTCAGCTGATCTACTTGTAATGTGGAGGCACTCCTTGCCCTTCCTACACCTACTCTGATCCTATCTAAAAGACCTAGTGTCAATCATTTGTTGCACATCTATAATGGCCCCTTTCCTTTATAGTACTGTAAAGATACAAAAAAAAAATAAGCCTTTATTTTTTTTTATTTTTTTAAAAGCTTATATTTCGAGGTCAAAGAGCAATATATGGCTGGAAGTAATATTACGTTTTAAAAACCACAAAACCTTAATGGCTTTTTGTAGTTGCAGTTAGGTAATACTGGTAATATTCTTTTTAAATTTAATGGGAGTGAAGTTGCTGAATTCTCTAGGGTCATAGCTTTAAATTTCTTACTGATTTGCAAACCACCTAGTGTGTCTATTTTTGTGGTTTAAGACCAAATGACAGTTCAAAGTCCAACTGGATTCGGAAACGAAAACACTTTAATGACTGATACATGCAGTTTTTGAGTTGCACAACTCCACTGTTCCAACGGAGATGTGACAAGCTTTAGAAGTTAAGGGGGTAGTGTTAGTGTAGCTCTTCAGGCACGCTAAGCAGTCCTCATGTGGAGTTGTGGGGTGACACCTGGGTTGTCTTCCCAAGTGTCACCATGCATTACAGGATTGGGTGGGATAAAGAACTTGTTCAAATTCGTATAGCTTCTGAAGCTGGCTGTGATCAGCCCCGGCACTCGCAGTCTGCTCCTCTGGATGGCTCTTGACAACTTTGTAGCTTTCACAGTGACTATCTGTTGCTTATACTGCAGGTCTGCTCCTATTACAACAACCAAGCTACTCCCTTATTGAATAGGGTTAACTAAAGTTCATATGCTAACACTGCTGTCATGTAGTCCTCATTTATGTGAATTGCTGTTGACACAGACAAAGACCTCTTTCGTTGTTTTTTTAATAACAGCCACGATGGAAGTGACAACAGTTCAGGCCATTTTGCCGTGGTTTATGTCTAGTAACAGCATCATATATATGCTAATTGTTCTGATATGAAGGAGATAGCAGTACTCACGCTAGTGTCTGCCTGTTCGCAAAGCATCTTGACAGTACCACTACTGTGCACATCTTGGAAAGAAAGGTTGCTGTGCCCCAGTAAGCCACTGGAGTGCGGGGTAGCGTCAAAAAAAGTGCAGGAGCACCCTGACTGCTTCATGCATGAATTTGTTGTTCATTGTGTGCTAATAATGGGCTTTTCAAATTTGCATTTTAAGTGTTTAGGTGATCAGTTGTGTTTCAAGTTGTCCTTTTTATAACCTGGTGTAACTTTGTTAAGCAGTCCTATGTTACACACCTCCAGAGCATTTCTTGCTATTGCAAACCTCATTATTGGTTTTTCAAATTAAAAGGGAAATGTTCAACTGCAGAATTTGCTGTAGTCAATCTCTCCTAGTACTAAAACAATTCATTGCAATAATGCTACTTTATATAAAGTTGTACTATGCTTATGAGTTAAGATTATTTGAAAATCTTTTATGCTATCTTTTATTTTGTTTTAAAATAGTGCTTATATTGTTATCTATGGATGCATTTTTATGTAAAGCCTATTCTGACTACAGTTGTCTTTATCTGCTTCCTTCCTTCCTCTCCAGCCTCTAGAGCAATACAACTAAATATGAGGCGATCAGCAGCTCCAAGTCAAGTGCTAGGAAATGTATCCAAAAAGCCAAGGTTCATACCACCAGGAAAAAATAGCACAGTTTGTTTCAAGAATGAAACTAAGGAGATGGACCAAGAAATTAAATTGAAGGAGGTAAACTGAACAGTGCACTGAAAAGTGTATTTGTTTGTACAGTGTTTTTACTAAAAGACAGCATTCAAGCTCACCATGAATAATCTCTGTTTAAATGAGTCTGTTTGGAGTAGATTTTGATACCTTTGCTTTTATTATATTTGATCTTGCTTCTTGGGTAGATTTCTGTCACTCCGTAAAGTGGATGTAGAATGTTTTTCAAGTAAATTAAAATAATCAGTAATGAGCACAAATGCAGTTCTCAGTGTAGCTGGGGTAGGGATTGCATCTTGGCCTGGCCTTTGTTGGTATCAAATGTTTGAAATGCTTTGGCAAAAGCAGTTAAAAAACAAAGATACTCAGTAATGAAATTTCAGTACATGAAGTTGCAGTTTGCTGCAAGGAAGTTTCTCTCAAAACCTTTAAAATGACCCCCCCCAAAAAACCCATCACAATTCTTATTGATTTAATCTACAGAAGACTTCTATTAAATTCAGTTCATAAACTACATATACAAATGCTGTTTGGTATCGTGTGCAAGTGATTTTTGTTGTGAGCACTGGAATGCATATATTTGTGTAGTATTGTTATGTATGTATGTCAATAGTTTGATAAGGAGGATTAGTATCTATTGACATCCCTTCTCATTTTTCTTCATTTCTCTTCAACTGCATGAAGAAAATGCTATTGTGAACTTTTTTTTATCTGTCTGCAGAAGAGAAATGAGGACCAGAATCAAAATGTAAATTTTATACAGTCTGTGGAGTCAGCTGGAAAAGGAACGACTACCAAAGAATGTTTCATTGTTAATAAGAGTAGCATGGTTGAAATGAAAACACCAAATACACCCAAAGCTGGTAAGATGCTCTTTCTTATTTACTGCCATCTATTGTGAGAGAATTTT